CACTACATAAACCAGCTTTGTCTAGCTAAGTATACAAAGCTACAAAAAACAACAACAAAGATAGCTAAACATTACCATCTTCTCATCAACATGGAACAACATATAAAAACAAACATAATATCCTTGTTCAAAGCTACCTAAGCATTAACTTTTTCTCATTAGGCACACCAAACCACATGGCTAACAAAAACATAATGACTAAAATCAGCCAATTCTTGTCAGATTTTTTCCCTGTTGCAATTTTTTTCTGAAGTTCAGCATTTTCCAATTTCAACAGATCCAACTCATTGGCTTTCACTTCTAATCTTTCAGACAAAAGTTTCTCCATAACCATTTTGCATTTCAATTGTTCCTCCAACACTTGAACTTGACCTTTCAACTTCAAATAACTAGCTTTCTGGAGAGGTGGGAGCTCGGGATCAAACCAACGAAAAAATTTACAATCATCATCCTGTAATGTGCAATGAACAAAAATGTTAACTTTAACAGAAACTTCAAAACTCCTGTAAGAAAAATTTGCAAAAACAATTGAAAGATTACACTTCAAAACTTCAATATTAACTTCAGAATTTGCAAAATTCTGTAACAAAAACATAAATTTGTTCATCACTACCTCATTCAATTTGTTGAACATACAAACATAAATTACACTTCACCTACCATTCGATATTTGCACCGGTAGTACCTCCTAGCGGATTCAGATCAGTATGAGAGGTGAGATGATCGGGCTCTTCTAAATGTCGACATGTTAATTTCGGAACTGCTGAAGTCGGGAATGTTGCTGCCGAACTTGTCCTCCTATATGAGTTCGAATCAGTCGACATAGTTAATTGAGCAACCCAATTTCTTCTATGGTTCTTCCTCAGAGAACTTCTTCTAGGGTTCTTCCTCCCGCTCGTCAATTTAGGGTTCTGAAAAGAATCTGATTTTGATTTTAAAATGTAATTGAACAAGAAACGACGTCGTTTCGTGGTGAGGTGGAAAAAAAAATCGAATTACCACGCCAGACGAAACGACGTCGTTTCGTAGTGAGGTGGAAAAAAAAAATCGAATGGTATATACATCTCAGCAATTGAGCTGTCATTTTAGGTGTCACGTCATTTTTTTTGGAACAGGTGATGAGGGCCGTGTATCGTTTTGCAAGAAAATGAAGGTCGTGATATGCTGTGCAAAAGTCGAAAAGTCGTGATTAATTTGCAATCGCGATAAAGGTGGTGATATTATATGCAATTTTGCCTATTTTTAAAAAGACATACTTTATCATTGTAATGTAAAAAAAAGCAATGAAATAATACAAATTCGGTTGAACGGACGGTTATCAATAACTTGTTTTAGAAATAAATAAACAAAAAGAGTGTGCACATGACATGTAAGAAGTCAACTTTCCAAAAATAGAAAGTATATGAGACCCACTTCTAAAACTTACTAAATATAAAAAGTCAGTTGCCTAATTATTTAGTAAATAGATATAGATATTTTTGTTCTGCTATAGAAGAATGTGAAATACTCAATTAGAATGCTATAATTGCTCATATTTTTATTTTGTAAAATCTGTTTCCAACTTTGTTTTCCATTTTATTTTGGAGAAAAAAAAAAGTTTTATAAATGTCTAATCCTTAAAAAAAAGGGAAATAACGCCATTCCATTTCAGTTTTTCAATCATCAACCAAATCCAACAATAATTTCATTGACAATGTTCACACCCGCAGTCAGATCAAAACTGATTAACACACAAAAGAAGTTAATTACTTGATTATATACAAACTGAAAACCGTAACTTGTTAGCACCTCAACGACAATTGTTTATCTTACTTTCTGCAAGATTCGAAAGCTAAACCAGCAGCATCACACAAAATCACCTCACAATTTTCATTGTGTGGTTGATTTGGGTCTTAATGTTGGATCTCATTATTGCTCCACAAATACCTTTTGTTCTCTCTTTCTATTTTTCATCTCATATTGTTCGAATCCACCATCAGTTAGTACCCCTTGTTTCCACGAATACGAGCTCTCATGTCAACCTGGAACGTAATGCAACAGCAAAATGTTACGATTTCAAAAGTCGTAAAATAACAATAGTCTCAACAAAAAAAAAAAATAGTGGTTGGACAAGCTACTCAGATACAATGGCGCAATGAATTTTAAGAAAATTACATTGAGTTTTGAACTGACATTGCAATATTGCATACAATGATGAAATGTGTTTTATGAAATAGAAGATTTTGGATCAATCATATAGAAGTATGAACAGCACTTTTCTTCCAGGTAGGGTTTCGGGTTTTGCAGATATTCTTTTTATTAATAGGTGTGACATCAAGCTTAAATATAAATACATAATCGGTATTATTACCATATTAAGGCAATTATAAGGCAAAAGAAATTTATAATTTTGATGACTGCATGATATAACAATATATTAGGATTGGAAGATATGCAATGAAATGAGAACCAGCTCGGAATAATGAAAAGTCATTTTAGGGATATTTGATGAACCAGTAGATAATGATTTTATGAAAAAGACACAATAATATGTGACCTGACAAAATTTGGCGAGTACCAATAAATGTGTCATTGCAACCGGAGATTTGCACTGCTCCAGATAAACAAGCTAACATATATATTGAGCATCTAGTGCTAGTCATGCCGAATGTTGAATATGCAAAAGGTAAAATTTTATATACAGTCCATGTGGTGACACATGCATGAAAACAGCGACTGAGACATCCAAAACGGTTCATTATACACTTCCTCTGTGCGCAGACATCCATTGATCATCTATATTAAGCAAGTGTTGTCCAGTTTACTCCTCTACTTTTTTCCTTTTACTCCATCATGAAAATCTGAGTTACTCAACAAGAAATAAGTGCGTAAAAGAAGCATTCAAGCATCAGATATCTTTTGGCCCTAGCAGATAGGTGAATATGCCTTCAGTTACCTCGAGATGATTAAAACAGATACTGATAAAGAAAACCAAATACACAAGGAATCAGGAAAGGAATACCTCCATTTTAATTAGAATTCTCAACATAAGCAAGAACATCACTAAAACATTGACAACTTGTTTCTTTCTCTATAGGAGAAATACTTCTTATATTTTCTCATTAACGTCATTGTTTACTTTAAAATCTCATTTTATTTGCATATTTACGAAGTTTTTTTTTTTTTTTTCAATTACAAATATACCACTTTTACAGTTTATGAATGGTTGATTTGTCGTCTATTTTTGTTACTGATTTTTAAATTGCATTTTCATTTTTATAACTAGTTTATGAATGGTTTATCTATGGTTTTATTTTGAATGTCCTATTTCTGTAAATGTTCTCAAAAAGTGTAGTAAAAATGTAAAAGAGGGCCCAAAATACATATATGACTTTGGAAGAAACAATGATTTTCATCCTGACCAAGTGTTTTAGGAACGCAAAGCTAGAGTATGGACACATCTACAATAAACTATTTGTTCGGGAAAATATATAAGAGACTGGGAAAGAGCAAAAAGTTCACTTATATCCTACAGCAAAACATATATTTCTTGAATCAGCTAAATAAAACATAGTGAGAATCATGAAATAAGCGCACATAATTTCTCCTGTTGAATTGTAAGAAAAACCAGTAATGCATAAGCCACACAAATACGTCATAAACATTTTTTGCAACTTGAAAAGAAGAGAGCGCTATCTGTATTCAGAGCTGTAAACATTATTTAAGTCCAAAAGGCAATAATCTTTAACTGAGTTTAACATTATTCAGATAACAGTTTAACACCAAAGAACTACTTTAATGTTCCTGAAACAAAATGAATGAGAATAAGATATCTATTTTAAAGATCGCATAACCCCAAGAGACTGTAGCTTTTGTAATGAACGAAAATATAGTCACGATAATGTAATCCATTTTTAGAAGCCGACATAGCAAAGTTTCTTCCCATTAAACAAGTAATGATGATTTTTCACTTCATTATTTAAAATCATGAAACCAAATGAATGCAGAAAACATTTGAAGGAAGAAATACATAAAACGAAGTACCTGCCCTCTTTTGCAGTTGAAATATGTTTCTCTAAGCCCCACACACTCGCTTGAAATTTTAGGGCTCGTCTCTTTTGCACATTCTCTGTACGGCCGGTTTTCAACCTAAAATATTTTCAATCAGCCATGGATATTAGATACCAAGGGAAAACCAGAACAAAAAGTAATTTCAACAGAAAATCGTGCTCAAGGTGTCGTGTCGGTGCAATATAATATCCGCCAAAAAAAAAAAGAGCTCAAAATCTCGAAACAAAAATTAAAATAAAGGAACAAGTAAATAATACGACTCATGTATACCTTAACACAATCAGATTCGCTCAAGCATTTCACGAGTTCCATAGCCAGACCTTTGCAAGACTTCGCCATTTTCTTGATTTATATCGTTTTTTTATTTTTCCAGAACCTCTGCGTTTTCTGCGTTTTTTCTGGGTTTTCAATTTTATACTTTTTCTTTTTTGCATTTTAATGGTCTTTGTTATCAGGACTGTATATGCATGAAATTTTATGGGCTTAACGTACTGGATTAGCCCGTTTTGGGAAGCTTTTCAGGCCTTAAGATTTTGGTGTCCGAAAATTAATCTATGAGCCTTAGATAGCCCAACAAACAAAACGACAAACATCTTTTATCCTTTTCATTTCTTCTTTTTTTTTTTCTGCATTCTTTCTTTTCTTTCCTCTCTTTATTCCTGAAAATAAGAACAGGAATTAGTTAAACGCGCAAAAGCTCAATAATTTGCGTTTGGCTAAAGGTGGGGACTCCCAATAAATACAAACGGATATCAAATTGGAAATTCAGAACCAGTAATGTCACTGTTATTTAGTTATTACCCAGAGAAAAAAAGATGAGATGGATGGTAAACACAGGGAGCCGTTGGATTTTCAGACGACAAACTCACGCGCACAAACAAAAATGATTTTTTTCTTAAAATATCTCTTTATGGATAGCTCAGCCGGTGGATTCATTTTTTGCGGCCAAGGTTTTAAGAGGGACGAAAAAAAAAAGAAAAAAATAAAGAGACAAAAGAGGCCCATAAATCCAGTCCATCCCTTCTGCAAGAATATCGAACGTGGTATTTTCACATATAAATATCGCGTGGACAGCACTCTATAAAGACAGGATTAGAGTTGGTTCATGGGAAATGGCGGATTCTACTAGAACATCATCATCAGCCACAACTACAATTACTGCACTTGATTATCTGCTTGAGGCCATAAATATCTGCCCTTTCCCATTTGCCCCACCGCGTCATTTTCCCCATTTTTCTTCAATTTTTTCCTTCTAGCCATGCTTAATCGGGATCTTATTGGGTTGAAAAAGAATCCCTTTTGATAAAGATTCAAGCTTTTTTTTTTTAAGTTCATAGTTTATTTTATTAATTTTCTGTTGTGGGCAACAGATAATATTTTTTATATACATCTTTGAAATTAAAGAAATGGCTGTGGCTATGGCTTCTATTGGGAGTAATTTTGGGCTCTGTAGCAGTTTGAAGCCTATTGAGAAGCAGTCCTATTCAAAGGCTGCTCCTTTCATATGCTCTTTTGGCTTTGAATCAGTTCAGTTATCTTGCATTGCCTCTAGAAAAAGGTAACTCGTTTGTGTAAAATTGTTAGCTTCAAGATGTTATCAATCTTTTTCATTTTTATGTAAAATTGCTCAATTAGATTTGCAATTCTCTCTCGATGATTTGAACATGTGTCGCTCACACCAAAAATAGCTATTGTTCATTTTTATAGGTAGATAGATGTATTCATATAGTGATATGTGTCTATAGAACATACACAAAGTTTGCTTGTAACTATCACCAATCTTTTTCTGATGGTTGTGCAATTAGATTCAAGACATGGGTTGTCCATAATTTGAATTTTCTCATGCTAATGGTACCCTCTGTTAGCATGTGTTATTTGTTTGATTAGCTTCATTTATTATTTTCTAAACAATATTCGAAACCTATGCATATGAGCTTGTGAAATGAGTAGACTAAGGGCATGTTACAAGCAATTGCTCAAGATTTTATTAACTAGTGACATGGATTCCTTATAATAAACCATATGAATTGAAACACAAATATCCGATGGCCATGAATGGTCAACTCTCTGGCGGATTGCAATCGTGCTGCTTATCCAAAGGCTGACGTTAGATTCGGCTGTTATAAATACAGTCCGACCAATCGAAATATGGAAGTACAATTTTGCTAATTGTCCTCTCTACTATTATTAAAGCATCCAATTCTTTTGTTTTTATGGCCTTTATATGTTGTTGTACTTTTGGTATTGTGTCAGCTTATCATCGCCCACGAGTCGATTCATACCGAAAGCATCACCGGCTACTGCCGTGGAGGTATCAAACATCAATTAATGTTTCCTATTTCAGCTCAAATACATTTGTTACTTACAAAGGCTAAAATTAGTATATAAGTGGGGATGCTTTGCATGTAGAAATCAGAAGCTGCATTAGTTATTCGGACATTTGGAGAAAAATTGTTGAAGTCCTTGTTTCTTTATACAAAGATTCAAACTTGAAAAATGATTAAAAAAAAATCTAAAATCACTTATTCTCTTGCTTTTCTATTCTGAGTAAATTATAGTATTATTCTGAATCAGAAGCCAAAGCTGGTGTTTTTAAAAAAATTATTAAAAGCTATATTTCAGCCTGCAAGATATGAGTATCTCATTTTTTTTTTTGGGTAATCGTGTGAAACATATTTTTTGTCTGAGTCGAAAACTATGGAACTCATATTCCTAGTAATTTCAATGACTCGTAATTTGAATGCTGATGACATTATAATTGATTGATTTGGAGCTGTCAAAACAGGATGGGAGTTCTCAGGAGACTGATGTGGTCCCCACACCCAAAGTTATAATCGATCAGGATTCAGATCCAAATGCCACCATTGTTGAGATCACCTTCGGGGATCGTCTTGGGGCTCTTGTGGACACAGTAAGACTATATATATATATATATATATATATATAGAAAGAATAGGATTTGGTTCAAATGAGAACTAAGTCCTAGCGTGAGAACCGTGAGAACCGCTATTTTTAATTGTATGTAGTGTTATGATTGATTGTATTTTAGTGCTATTTATAATCAGGATGTATTTTATTAAAAATAGCAAGACATTTATGTTAGTATTTGTAAAAATGATAGCACCATGTGAGACTAAAAATAGCATTATACAATTAAAAATAGCACGAAATATGGTTCTCACGGTTCTCACACCAGGACTAGTTTTTATTTGAACCAACCCCGATATATATATATACATTAAAACTAGGATTGTGTAAGATTCTGTAAATTTCCATTTATAGAAGAATATTTGCACTATTATGCGAAAGAGAAGCCGGAGACCATTTATTGATTGCTGTTTAAATGCCATTTCAGATGAATGCTTTAAAAAACCTCGGGCTGAATGTCATTAAGGCAAATGTGTATCTCGATTCTTCTGGCAAACACAACAAGTTTGCTATAACTAAAGCGTAAGTTCATGTTGCTTTTTTTTATTTTTTTATTTTTTCATTTCTGAGCACGTTACTAATCTTAGCTATTCTGTTTGACATGTTATCAATATAAGTTGAAGTTTATCGATCAATAGTTTTGGAGTCGTAATAAATTATTGTAAATGTTAGATTAGTGGCATAAATTCAGAGTTTCTCTTTCCTTAGCTTTTTCAACTTGTCTAAATCAGGAGAAGCTTATTATAAGACTCGTCAAATCCGAAACTCTGGGCCAGTCATATCAGTCATGAATTCTAAGTCGAATTCATCTTTATTTAACAGTCATATAATATAAAGTATACTTCTATAAATAATCACTTTTCAAGTGCATGGACTTGTATGCAGTTCAACAGGAAGGAAGGTTGATGAACCAGAGTTGCTCGAGGCCATTCGTTTGACAATTATCAACAACATGCTCGAATATCATCCGGTATCGATCAACGTAATATTGGGATATCATACCTTTTTTTTATTTTTTATCTGTCTTAAAGATGCAGAGTTAAATATTTTCAGGAGTCAAGTGCTCAGTTAGCAATGGGGGCTGCATTTGGTGTGACACCACCAAGTGAAAAGGTATTTACTTCCGAGCTTCCAGATCTTATTTGCACTTGCTTTTTTCGTTCTATTTCTCTAGTACATAGATTTATCGGCAAACATATTTCTTTATTAATTGTATATATGTTTTAATTGTGATACCCCCAACTGACCCCAGTTACTGGCAAGTCTGCCAATTTTTAGTAAGCATAAGCTTCCTTGACAATTATCAAGGTAGGTTTTTTTTTTCTAGTTAATTAATAGTTATTTGCTTATACTTATTGTTCACTCATTCATTGCAGGTTGATGTGGATATAGCAACACATATTCATGTTTATGACGATGGTCCAGAGCAAAGGTAAAGAGCACATTATCTGATCAATTTGCTGTCTCACGCTAAAAACTGATATGCTCAGCTCGACTTTGAAGTTAAAACGTGAAATGATACTATTTTACATCATTGCAGCTTGCTGTCAGTGGAGACAGCCGATCGTCCAGGTTTACTGGTGGATCTCGTGAAGATCATAACCGACATAAATGTTACTGTTAAATCTGGCGAGTTCGATACCGAGGTAAAATTCGTTAAAAAGGTGTCATTATGATAATTACTAAAACTACCCCTAAGGTTCTCAAATCATTAGTGCCCAAAACTTAGAAGAGCAACATCGATGGGGTATTCGAAATTATAGCAAATAATTCCTTTTTTTCATTTTCTATTTTTCTGTTTTTTTTCTTGACCCTCTGTTAATACCGCGTTTTTGTGCTAGCTAATTATTGTAACTAAATCTCATCACTTGTGAATTCTACGTTTTCTTGTAGGGCTTGCTGGCTAAGGCGAAATTCCATGTAAGCTACAGGGGTAAAGCCATCATCAAACCTCTTCAACAGGTATATATAAATGCCGCCTGTTTTTTGAGAAATTTAGAATTATTGTTTACATCGACTCGACAAAGTACTGTTTGGCTCTTGTTCTAACATGTTATTCCTTTAATTTCATGGAAAAAACCGGCAGGTTCTTGCAAACAGTTTGCGATACTACTTGAGGAGACCGACTACAGAAGAAGCAAGTTTTTAGATACTTCGAATGGATCTTATAGCATATCAGACACCTTTTTTTTTCCCAATACTGCTGTTGAAAGCAACAAACACACTTTGTGCTATACTTGATTTTAATCACTGTAACAATATCTGCAAAATGGTCATCTTACCTGCACTATGGCTAGAAAAGTGTCCTTACTATTCCTTTTCTTNTTGGAACCCAGCAAAGGGAAATAAGTTAATCATTGACAATGGCAACAGTTCATAGGAAAAAAGAAAAAAAAAAATTGCCCTTGTATGTCTTATTTGAGGAGGTGAAGTCCTAAAATGGAAGAATGGGAATGAGTTAAATTGAAAAACAAAACTCTAAATATAAATAAAATAAATTGAGGATAGACTGAGAGTTGACATAATTTTACTTTGAAAATTTTCTTTTGCTAAAAAGAATTGTGATGAGAGTATTTCAAGAAAAATGATATTGAGAATGTTATATGAAACTTTGGTTTATGCAAAGTCTGGCTCATGGAAAACTTAAAAGATCACCATGGAAAATTGTATATTCCAAGTTTCCAACACTACTTGTGCCAAATGTTTATTTTCTCTTTTATTAATTAGTGGAAGCTTTGGCGTTGATGTATTTTGCATTGGATTCGTACTTCAAGCTTGGCTGCTTGGGGTGGTTATGACGGGCATCTTTGAACTGTGATGCGTGCAGAGAATTGTGTTGGTTGTTCTGATCAATATAAACGAATATA